GCCTTTAGGTGAATGAAAGTTAATTTGTTAATAGTGAGGTTTCTAGAGTGCACATATGCTTATGCAAATAGTGAAATCACAAGAACTAAAAGATTTGAAGCGAGAGACATTGTAGCAGATTGCTATTTATTTATATCAAATGGCGGCGTTTTCATGGTCATCAATAGCCCTTTAGTTGACTTCGGACTTCACAGAGGGGAAGGAACATCAAAGTGACAAAGTGGAGAGGGGGAACAGAAGAGTGATTCGTAGATGTAAAAGAGACAGATAGACACAAAGGCAGAGAAAAGGTAAGATGAGTACTTTGGAAGGGGTCGAATATGACATACAGTGGGGCGATGGTAGTTTGAAGTGAAAAGTCAACTGCCGTTAAATAGACTTTGTGCCGTACGAGTATACGTCGCCCAGGGTACATCACGTAAAGGTTAGTCTATCGCGCACCCCAAATTGGCGGAGACATGGAGCACCTGGGTATTGATCCCAGTACCTCTCGCATGCTAACCGAGTGCTCTACCATATGAGCTAAAGCCCCACAAGCCTTAACATAATCTCACACATCTCTATAGTTAAATATCGCAGTATGGAAGGGCTCCTCATTTAACTCGAGAAAACAGGTGTTTAGAGAGAACAGAGTTTATTGAACTTATGGGAACAGCAAATATGAGTTATAATCGATTACAGTTAGCATAACTTCAATGAACATTAACAGCTTATTAGCTGTGAAGTTCTCTGCACGCAGAATGTTCGAGTGCGCATGAGATTGCTGGTTTAAACATGCTAGGAAAGTAAATCTGTGTTACTCATATCACAGCAGCCATGGTTGATTGAAATCTAGTAAAATTCAATGCTTTAAGGCAAATTTAGATGTTCTAATAACAACGTGCATTTCAACAAGTATTACTGACTCCAAATTTATGATACCATAGGGAATTCTCCAGTCAATGAAATAACGCCCAGCACAGTATTAATAAACTTCATAACTTTGGCTCACTAAAGTCTTCCATAAATTTTATTTTGAACTAAAGTTACGATGTACCCATTATTTAATTATTCTTTCAACCAATTTGGAATAAATAAGTCATAGAAGTGTGGATTTGAAGGAAAAATATACAAAATGACTTATCTAGAAATAATATTATTGCTGAATTCCTAAAAAGTTTAATACTCTTTCATTTAATTTTAATACTTATGTCAAAACTTGTTTTGTTTATCTTTATTAAGAGTAGTGAGTAAGCATTGTGTTTTTACAACTCGCAAGTTTTGATTTAGCTCCATTAAGTCAGCTTAGAAATAGGGACACAATTCGTCATCCAAATGTTGACATTGATTGTAAACACAGAATAATAATAATGATATTAACTATTATTCAAATTTTGGCAGCAAAGTATGTGGAAACAATAAAGAGTCCATCGACGAAATGCCGATTCAAAGATTTCAAACCAATGTCCGACAACACGTTTCCTGAATTTGTGTCAAGTTTACTGTTACTGGTAATTGAATGCTGGGACATCTATTGTAGTATCATGACTCATGCTCGGTAAACAGTGTCATTGAAGAAATGGAAAGATGAATAATCGGGAAAAATTGCATCGCTATTTTCATTTCATGAAATGGAAGAATTCGAAATTTTACGTTGACTTTCACCATTGATATTACGCTCTTTTACAATGATAAATTGAATTCTTTTACTCATTACTATGGTGTTACAATAATAAAATTGGGGTGCGCAATAGACTAACCTTCACGTGGTGCACCCTGGGCAAACGTATACTCATACGGTAAAAAAGTCTATTAACCGGCAGTTGACTTCTGACTTCAGCCTACTATCACCCCACTGTATGTCATATTCGACCACTTCCACAGTACTCACATCACATTTTTTCTACCTTTGAGTTTGTCTGTCTCCTTTAAACCTGTGAATCACTCTTCTGTTCCCCCTCACCACTTTTAATCACTTTGATGTTTCTTCCCTCTGTGAAGCTCCGAAGTGAGCTCCATGGCTAATGATAACTATCAAAACGCCTGCCATTTGAAATAAATATTACGATAGAATTTAATACTAAATGCAATGAATGTCACAAATAGAATGAGCATTTTTAGTTTATAATACAAAATAAAAATTAAATAGGAATGGAATCAATTTTCGATGATATGGAAAGATTTAGAAAAGGTGTGAAAGACGCTAATTGGCCTTATTTTTAATCATATTTTCCCAATTCTCTAGTTAGTAATTTTGAAAATATTAAAAATAAACACGATGGCAGATTTATATAAACAAGGTTGAAACATTAAAAATAAAGGTCTTTCTTGTTGAAAAATAATTGTGAAAAAAGTCTTTGGAATAATTGGTAAGAGATGAAGCTATTCGACGCTATTTTGCACCAAAAGGATACCAACTTCTTGACAAACACTTAGAGCTCCCTTTGTTGTAACTATTGATTACAGCTTTACATCAACTGCTCTAAAATCTCAGTTTTAAGAATTATAAAAATGTGTAACTGTCTGAGGGAAATATTATGATATTAGTAAAAAATATTTGTCTTCCTACATACCGATTTTTTAAAGCGCCTGACTTTATAACTGAATAATTGCTAAAGTTGCAGGAAGTGGTAAACAAGTATGACTAAACAATTGAATTGGAGTTCACTGAGATACTACGTTGAATAGATGGGACAATGAATTGGAGATTACATTGGAATATATAAGTCAATTTTATATGGCACTGTACCAAACATACCCTGATAAATTCATCGGAAAGAATATCGTATAATTCTTGAGCATCTGGATATTGTTGTCCGGGAGATTTTGTTAGCAGACCCTCAATTTCATTCCAAGTATCATTCAAAGCAACCAGACAATTCCGATCAACACCCTTTTCTGGTCTAAGTTTCGATATCAATGGTCGCAAATTTGTGGTGATTTTGCTATTTGGAGACCCTGGTACGCTTTGAGTCAATCTAGTAATTGTATCGATAAGCTAAAAAAACAAAAATTGACACTTTAAGCCTTATTTATTCATTTATTTATTTATTTTAAACAGGCAGTGTTCTTGATTTCGATTAATAATTTAAATACAGGCGTAATTTGTTCGAAATGTAAATGTAATGTTGAACTAAAGTAGGCAATGATTTGTGTGCTTTAATTAGAGCGCTAAGACAAAGAGTATTGTACTTTTTTGCTTTGATTCGCACCGCCCGTCTGGCGTGAACTAATTGTGTTCTTTTATGAAGTATTTATGACTGCGTTCATATGAAATGCCAATCCGTTAACTACTAGCGTCGATTTGCTTCATTGTAAGAGATATAACAATTTAATTTTTGATCAAAGCGCAAATATTGCAAAACAATCGATTTAATTTTGTCTAAATCCGAAAGATAATAAACCACTCTAGATTTTTAACCTATCATATGATTTCATATCCCAGAAGGGGTTGCTCTAAAATGTGTGTAGACAATACTTGCGAATATAAGATAGTTTAATATTTATTTATTTCAAATGGCAGGCGTTTTGATAGTTATCATTAGCCCTTTAGCTGACTTCGGGCTTCACAGAGGGAAGGAACGTCAAAGTAACAGAAAGACGATGGGTGGGGAAGAGAAGAGTGGTTTACAGTTGTTAAAGAGACAGACACAGAGGTAGAGAAAAGGTAAAATGATTACTGTGGAAGTGGTAGAATATGGCATGAAGTGGGGTGATGGTAACTTGAAATGAGAAGTCAACTGCCGGTTAATAGACTTTTTGCCGTATGAGTATACGCTGCCCAGGGTGTACCGCGTGAAGGTAAGTCTATCGTACACCCTAGATAGTTTAATATGATTATGGCACCACTATTTCGTGAAATAAGGAGTTTGATGCCTAAACAAGGATCAGCCTTTCCACTCGCAAAGTACATTAAGGCAAGTGTACGTAAATGCATATAGGCTACGGTATTCTCTCTCAACGAATCACATTGCATAGATAAGGTTGGATTTAACGAATCGTTACTTTTGACTCTTTGCCTTGGAAAGAAATCCCGACCAATGGATAAAATGGTCACTATCATAAAAACTTTTGATAAAAAGACAATTGACTGACTCNGAAAGTCGAGGGGTGGGGAACAGAAGAGCGATTCACAGATGTAAAAGAGGCAGACAGACACAAATGCGAAGAAAAGGCAAGGTGAGTACTGGGGAAGGGGTCGAATATGACAACCAGGGGGTCGTGGTAGTTTGAAGTGAGAAGTCAACTGCCATTTAATAGACTTTTTTGCCGGATGAGTAAACGTTGCCCAGGGTGCACCACGTGGAGGTAAGTCTATCGCACACCCGGAATTCAAAATTAACCTACTAAAATCGATTTTTAGGTTTCCCTCCTTTCTCATGATTTCTGCTTTACTTGATAGTGACGTCTCAAATAGAGCAATAAGCTGGTGCCTGGGTAATTAAAATAGAGATTAAACGTGCTGATTAGCAAGCACAGTATTTCAGCAAGCTCTTGATTAACCCAAAATCAATATTCCTTATTCGCTGCTTTGAATGGCTTGATCAAATTCATGACAATATCACTGGGAAGGGGGGAGGAGGCACAATATCAGACAGTGAAAATCTTGCAAAACATAGTCCCTTTAACGGAGTGTGTGGTTAAATTACCTCCATGTGATACATCCTGGGCAACGTATATTCACCTGGCAAGAAAAGTCTAAACACCGGCAATTGACTACTATACTTCAAACTACCATGACCCGACTATATTATCATATTCGACTGCATCCGCAGTACTCATCTTACCTTTTCGCTGCCTTTGTACCTGCCTGTCGCCTTTTTTTACATCTGTAAAGCACTCTTCTGTCCCCCTCTCGACTTTTTGCAACTTTGATGTTCCTCCACCTCCCCTGCCCCCCGCCCTCTGTGAATTCCGAAGTCAGCTACAGGGGTAATGAAATCTATTAAAACACCTGCCATTTCAAACAAATAAATAGTCCCTTTAACAGCAACGCTAAAGTTAGAACTGCAAGAGCGACAGAAGACAGAGAGGGAGGAACGATGAAATTTGTGTCTCATTAGCATAGCAGATTAAAGGTCAAGAACTGGATCAAATGTAGAATAAAATTAATGGAAAGGGAAGAAGTTCATGTTCACAGAGCTCAGAGGTGGCNGTGTGTAGACAATACTTGCGAATATAAGATAGTTTAATATTTATTTATTTCAAATGGCAGGCGTTTTGATAGTTATCATTAGCCCTTTAGCTGACTTCGGGCTTCACAGAGGGAAGGAACGTCAAAGTAACAGAAAGACGATGGGTGGGGAAGAGAAGAGTGGTTTACAGTTGTTAAAGAGACAGACACAGAGGTAGAGAAAAGGTAAAATGATTACTGTGGAAGTGGTAGAATATGGCATGAAGTGGGGTGATGGTAACTTGAAATGAGAAGTCAACTGCCGGTTAATAGACTTTTTGCCGTATGAGTATACGCTGCCCAGGGTGTACCGCGTGAAGGTAAGTCTATCGTACACCCTAGATAGTTTAATATGATTATGGCACCACTATTTCGTGAAATAAGGAGTTTGATGCCTAAACAAGGATCAGCCTTTCCACTCGCAAAGTACATTAAGGCAAGTGTACGTAAATGCATATAGGCTACGGTATTCTCTCTCAACGAATCACATTGCATAGATAAGGTTGGATTTAACGAATCGTTACTTTTGACTCTTTGCCTTGGAAAGAAATCCCGACCAATGGATAAAATGGTCACTATCATAAAAACTTTTGATAAAAAGACAATTGACTGACTCAAAGTAGTCCCCTCTCCCATCAGTATGACAATTTAGATAAGTAAGAAAGGGGAAACATTTTCCATATCTTATAAAATGACATTTATGACAGTTGTAAAAGGGAAGGAATCTAACTTAGCCAAAAGAGTTGTCCGAACTATCCTAAAGAATGCGGATCTTAATCATTTGGGTCAATTTTCAAAGGGTTTGCTGAAGGTAGAAATTATAAATAATGAAATTATCTTCCCTCAAAGGAAAGCTCAAAAGAATGAATTCGGAAGGATGACAAAAATCTATCATTTATGTGCGACAGATTTATGACATGGCATCGTGTATAACGAAATATAAATTGAAGTGGATATCAGACCAGACGAATGAACCCATTTATTACGTTTTAAATTAATTTATTTTGTCTTAGAGGACGCTGATATGCTAAGCCTGTAGACAATTCAAAAGCGTCGATGAAAGAGGGTATTTCCCAGACTTTAGGCAACTAGACATGGGTTTGATATTACTACTAATGTCTCAGTGAATTCCAAAAGGGCTTTTTGATACACTCAAGCATTGTAAATAGTCACAGAATACCTCATTCTAAAAATTATCGATCAACTATCATTGATAGGAAAATGCCAAGTATATCTTTTGAATTGAGGGGTGTGCGATAGACTTACCTCCACGTGGTGCACTCTGGGCAACGTATACTCATACGGCAAAAAAGTCTATTAATCGGCTGTTGACTTCTGACTTCAAACTACCAAGACCCCACCGCATTTCATATTCTACTAATTAAACAGTACCCACCATTTTTCTACCTTTGTGTCTGTCTGTCTCTTTTACGTCTGTGAATCATTATTCTGTCCCCCCTCTCGACTTTTTGCCACTTTGGTGTTCCTCTTTCTTTCTGTGAAGCCCGAAGTCAACTAAAGGGCTAATGATACCTATCATAACGCCTGCCATTTGAAATAAATAAATAAATAAATCTTTTGAATTGAACTCGAGTCCCAGAAGTAAATTGACAAAATCTTAAATACTATTCTAAATTTTTTTCTATTGAAAGCTCTAAATTCCCTCGTTGAGCTAGTATTAGGAATATTATATTTCTAAATTAATAACTAAGCATTATACAAGGAATGGATGTACTTACCAAGAGGATATTTTTCAAATCATTATTTTCAAGGAAGTTATTCAAAAATAATTGATCTTCGGCTGTAAGAATTCGTTCAAAGGGTTCAAGTAAATGCTTGCTGAGAGCACTTGGTTTGCTCAAAGCGTTTCGAATCAAATATGTTGCCCCTAAAAGTAAAATTTAAAGTTTACCGGGAGTTTTTGGCCACTAAAGCAACAGAAGAAAATGTGTTGAAGGTCAAGTACTTGGCTTGTTTGATCTAAGTTATGACATCAAATTCATTTATAATAAATGAAATGCAGTTTCAACGTATAAAAAGCATTGGGAGTACTTCTGGGAGCGAATTTCACTTAATGTTGGCCTAGTCATTTCTAACTTCGTGCGATTTTGTATTTTAATATCGGAACAGTCGTATAAGAAGTGAAAAATCAGACACACGGCACTAAGCACGAGGGATACAAAAGTGTTACAATTAATAAAAAGTGCAATTTGAATAAATTAAACTTGGATTTTCAAAATAAATGGAACGTACCTTGATTAATTAGAATCTCAACAAGAACACTAACTGAACTTTACTAATAGGATATGTTATACTAATTTAAAAATAGACAATTCCTTACAACAATTTGAGCCCTGCACAGTAAAAATCTCTAGCATGTTGAACAAATTGAAAAGTACTAATCGATATTATAGAAAATCAATTTTATGGCTGAATGCTACATGATTAAGCCCCTGCCTCTATGGAAAAATTCAGTAGGGTGGAATAGCCTTCTTATTTAGCCAGATTACCTTAACAAAGTCGAGGAAATAGAACGTATAAAGTGAAATGCGTTTATTGAGAATGGCGATAATTGCGATTACAATATCACTGGGACAGAACTTAGTCACTATCTCCTGTTATGGGTACGCTGACCCTGCAATGATTATTGATTTTTGATTTGATGAAAGGTCTCTGCACTCATGACCTCACTTTTCCCTAATGCGACCAGTAACACGAACATGCGTTCCAGAATGTCCAAGCACGCATGGGTTTGCTTAATTAAAGCGTTTTAGGGTAGGACGCTTTCCCATTTAAAGGCTTTTAAATTACCGACATAAATCTGGTAACACAGCTTCAGTTTGGGAAATAATATTTCTAGAAAAAACCAGAAGCATCCCTGCTTTAATTTTTTAGGATTGCAATATTACTGATTAATTCGGCGTAACTCTATAGACAAAACGCATTATATTAAAGGAGCACTAATTACATTAATAAATTCGTATGCAAAAAAATTGATTATAAATATTTTTAAATATTTTAAATATTTATAGTCAGAAAGTTCACACTTGTAAAATCCAACTAGCAAAGTGAGCATAGTGGAAATATAAAAGTTCACTTTAAAAGCAAAAACAAAGGATTTTTTTCTATTTTGGGCGAAAATAGCTTTGTGTGAACTGCGTAATCCAAGTGTCATTAAATGCAACTTCCCCTGAAATACCTCAAGAACATTTCAAGTACTTTCGACCTCAGCAAAGAGGGGAAAGCAGAAAGGGCCTTAGAGGAAAGGAAAAGACGGAGTTTGGAAGATGACAATGATGCTAAAAGCCTACTTCTTTGAAAGACCACGAAATAAGATTCCAGCTTCAAGTCGCGGAAATCATATCTACAATATTCTCAACCCATTGCCCATTTCAATCGCTTAGTTCTCAATATACAGATTGAATGATGATGACTAAGAGGACTTATAGATCAGCAATCGCAATTCATAAAATATTCGTTATTATCATAAGCGCCAAATTTTGAAAATTTAACTCTGAACCAAAAAATTTGTAACACATACTTTTTATGTTGAGTGGCTATGAGCATTTTGAATTGCCTTCTATTTCATTTTCAACGGGTTTGAGCTTAACTATAACTGAAGTAACTATTCAGACAAACTGAATTCCTCTTGCTAAATATAAAATATCTTTGGTTTAAACTGGCTTATTTTTAAAGTCAAATGTTTTTCTTTGTTAAAATTGGCAATTTTCTCAACAGAATTTGCGGCGGATTTTTGGAAAAATCTTGAACTATGCAAAAAAGATTTTTATTACCAAGATTGGAACATTGTGAGAATTTTGTCAGAATTAAATCTAAATTTTAACCTAACTCCCAAATATATGCAATTATCAACAATCAGGCATTGATTTTAGGGAAAACAACAATTGCTAAAAAATACCGTGCAGGTTAGGGATCAAATAGACTATATAGAAGAGGAAAGCTATGATGGAATTAAGAAATTAAAATTGAAATCCCGGGTCACGTAGAACGCTTAGAAATATCAATTATAGTATAGAAATGGAAGAAATATTTCAGTTAATTGGTGATTGGCACTCATTTCTGCAAAATCCGATCTCACGAGGTCAACATCTTTCTGCTCACTACCAGTGACAACTGCCTTTGCCAAATTCCGTTCAGCATGAGTGGTGATAGGACGCAATTCTCCACTGAGATTATTTGTTGACAAGCCATTTCCCAGTTAGTTTTGAAATTAAATAATGCCCAGCACCAATAATCCAAATGACAGTACACAGTGTCCACAAAGTCTGCTCTTGAAATTTCTAACTTGCTAAGTTAAATAGAGAATTTTTTTCATTATCAAATTTAGTTATTTAGAAATATGCTACTTGCCATGTGGGACACGTTATCGCTGTGTGTAACAATTGGTCATCTCTCATGTCATCTAGCTGGCTTAGACATGTGGGACACGTTATCGCTGTGTGCACATATCTACCTTGTGGGACACGTTATCGCTGTGTGCGTCATCTTATGCTTGCATGTCTGCTCGCCAGGATTGGGAGGTGCGGCAACTCTGTGTGCAGCGACCGTACAAACAGTGGCCAATCACTAGAACCTCGGGACAAGCCTTGTGGGACACGTCATCGCATGCCTGCACGCCAGGACTGGGAGATGCCAGGATTGGGAGGTGCGGCCGTACAACTTTGTGTGCAGTTCGCCAGGATTGGGAGGTGCGCCGTATAACTCTGTGTGCAGCGATCGTACAAACAGTGACCAATCATCAACCTCCTAATCCCCCATCCTGATCATGAGTAGCTCCCTGCGTGTACCCTTGATCCGCAATATACTTACTGAATAAACGTGCTCCTTGCTACTATAGTTTAGCTAGTTCTGGGAGTCTAGCTAGATGTAGGAGGATCTGCCATAGATATAAACGCGCTCCGTGCTACACGTCTGTTTTCTTTATAGCTGAGCTATAGCTTAGCTGTTCTCTAGCTAGAGGTTGGAGAATCTGCCATAGAGATTTCTGATTCCTAGCTAGATGTTGGAGAATCTGCCATAGAAATTTCTGAGCCGGTAGCTAGATGTTTGAGAATCTGCCATGGAGATTTCTGAGTCGGTCTAGCTAGATGTAGGAGGATCTGCCATAGAGATTTCTGAGTTGGTCAGGGTTTAATAAAGTAGCAATCCGCTACAGCCATTTCATGGGGATGATTAGGAAATGGTAAGTCGAGGCTTACACTACAATTACACAATTTATAATTAGGACTAAATCCACATGGAATTTTTAAAAATGCAAGTATAAACACGCATGTGTTAGGAGGTTAAAAAGATGTAAATACCCACTTGTGAAAAGAATTGCTCAAAAATCCGAATTGCAAAAAAACGAAAAGTGGCTTCCTCTTTACAAAAACTCACGGAGTAGTTTGTGCTCCTTAGCGGGAATTGTTGTCATTTCTTGCGTCAAAGAGGATTTTTTGTGTGTTGTATTTCCTGAAAAATGAGAGTTTTCATTAAAGTCCCAAAATTATTTAAGGATAAGGTATATTTATCTTTAACATCATATTTGTTTGAGGAAAATAAAAAATAATAGAACGCAAATTGCAACACTACAGTGGACTATTTGCAACTAATTAAACATGAATTTGGAGTAAAATTAACAGACTTTGAATTTTATATTTGTGCCACGTTTCAAAACCACTGCTTCGTTAAATTCTAACACAATATTTGCACCACAAAATCACGATTTTATGTTGTTCCAACTTCCACATTTTTTCTATCACAAACTGAGAAGCATTTGAGATTCAGTCGACCAATTCTGCCAACTCTTGTCAAAAAGCATCTTTGTGAATATATAGACGGTACAAGTGAATAATGAAATAATTTTTGCATTTTCGCACTCATTTCGATCTACTGATCTGGACACAAGGCCAGAGAGGAACAAATCACTAAGCTTTCGTGAGACATAAATTGAATTACAATATTGGAAAGTAGACGATATTAAATAACACCAATTGACCAAAATGCAAAAGATTGGCAAATAAAGAACTTATTCAAAATAAAAATGTCAGCCGACTAAAAAACCTGATGACCAAGTGTTGGAAGTCCACCATAAAACATTGGCGAAACAAAATTGTGAAAATTGACTAAGACACAAATTTCTTGAGGAAACACTTAATAATAGGAATGTTAAACTGAAATTTTATCAAGCCACATGGTATGTGATCATGTTCTTTTTAAAACTAAATTTTGAGGGCTGGGGTGGGGTGAATATCGTAAGCATTAACAATTCTTAGTCTGTTTAAGGCAACTCAACTTCAGTAAAAGTCATACTTTCTTAGGAATATTTGATAATGGCATGAGTGTCTGTAAGAAAATCTGAGATGGTGAAGTGACAACATGCTAGTCTAGCCATTCGGCAGCCCAACTGCATTGATTAATACGAGAGGTGCTGGAATAAGAATGCCTCCACAATACCACCCATCTATTCAAATTGATCGCCAAGAAGACCTCTTTTACTTGACGTCGAAATTTTTTTTCAAACGAGAAATTTGAGAACTTTTGCATGATAAAAAGCCAACTTCTAAGATTGTCGATTGAAATTTAATCATCTTGCACTTAAAGGGGCATTGTCGGGAAGATCGAGTTTCTTAGAATGATGCACTCTTTTCTCCATATACATTTATACTCAAATATTAAAATAATAAATTCATGTAAATTGTATAACTATGGGGTTCCATTTAAACAAGCTATGCATGTGAGTCGATTTTTGCCTATAGCCAAACAATATGTGGAAATCGTTCTTATTCCAATTTATCCGCTAAAATATGCAACTAATTATAAGTATCATATTATTGAGATCGAAATCACTTCAATAATTGAGCTGTTTCACAAAATACCTAGGCATTTAGAGCATTAAACTGACCGTAACAATATTCCAATCACCGTAAAAACGGAATAAAATCAACTGAAGTAAAAAATTCTAATAGCTAAAATAATCCCTCAACCTGTGTTCAACATGATTTCTGACGACGTGTCATTCCAGCAAAGTAGGAATAATATGTTCCACAATGTTACAAACAGCTAAGTCTAAATTTACCTCCCAATAAACCAGCAAGAGTTTGAGAAAATATCGATTGAATTCTATTGAGATAAGCGAAACAAATAGTGATTAAAACAATGATTTATTGAAGTGAAGGTTGATAGCAAACACTTGTTACTAATACGGATAGGTTGTTGGCTTAAACGACATCAGAGTCAAATACGAGAGTTGAGTAAATAAGTTGATGAAATGCCAAAGTAAATAAGTTCACACAAAAGAGGGGGCTATTGACAACCCGATCTCATTAGTAAATAAAGTTTAGTCAGCTAGTCAAGTGGTCAAAATTAGGTGATTAGTCACCAAGCTCTTAGTTTAGAATTTAAATATTGAATAAACAACACCACTGATTGTAAATTATGGTATAAAATCTAATCAAAAACTCATATTCAGACATTTGCAGCATTAAAGAAACTGAAAAAAACCGCAAAGATTTAGGAAATAATCAATATCCCAACTGGGAATTTTTTTGTTTCAAGTCAAACTAAATGGCTAATTAATCAATTCTCACGCCACTGCTTTGACAAAACCGATTCGGTTTTACTTACACCATAACCAAGATAAAATTATTCTAGTACATTAACCGAAATGGATGCGCGAATGCATGCCAAATAGTTATAATTCTAGCGCAAAATTTAATGTACTTTCACATGACAACCTTCACAGGTACGCACTCATGGGTTTTAGAGAAGTAACTAAAGCGGATATTCACAAGTTTATGCATAATTATGTTAATGTTTTAATTCACACCGAAATCCGCAAATCAGAGGGGCAAGAAATTGAGATTTCACACCATTATAGTAGTGAGTGCACGTGCATTAAAATCGCGCGGGAAAACTCAAGGTCAAATCAAGCTAGGCCTGTGGAAGTTGTTAGTTCAAGGTGCCAGGAAAGACACTCACAACCAGATCAAAAAGAGAGCCTTCATTTTGCATAAAGCAATGAATTTTAATGTTTGTCTTTTTCTTTAAGTAATACCTTAACGCAATCACGCCTCACATTTAAATACAGACTTTGCAGCATTGTCGTCGTTAAAAGATCATGGATAAAAGAAGGAAAACAAACAAACAAATTAGATCAAGCTAAAATGACAGGAGAAGGTAAAGTTGACATGATAATCTTGAAAGTGGCGCACAAATTTGCATGCATGACAAGTAAAAGCCGGAGAAGGTAAGAAAGATGAAAGACTTAAGAGAAGAGAAGCAAGAACAGGAAAAAAGGGAAGAGAATAAGTGTATCAAACCAGGTGTAAATGCTAACATTATATCTGCTCTTTGTTCAGTGAACCAATGAGAGAAGGGAGCAGGAAGTAGACGGATTAAAAGGGCGGTTGGGGATGTAGGACTCGCATTGGAGCACTGTCATAGTGGAGGGGGGCATTTGAAAGGACCGTAGTACGATGAGGTGGTGGTGGAGGCGGAGAAGAACATTTTGGAGCGAGGAGGGGAGGAGTTGAAATGGGCGATCTCGTAGAAGTTATATCCGTTGAACGTCGGAAGGTAGAGAAAGCCGTTCGTAGCTTTCCACGCATTACAGATGATGAAGGAGATGCAAGGGAGGTTGGTTTCAAGGGGCTGACTAAGGAGGGACTTCCATTCGGTGTTGGATTCTAAAATAAAACGAATACTAAGGATCAATTTAATTATCATATAACACACACACACACACACACACAGAATGTATATTGATTTGTTAAATGCGACTTCTAAATTTCCCGTTATTTTAACCGCAGGAAGAAGCCTCCACCAAGAATAATATTAGCAATAAAAAGAACAATAAAACACAAAGGACGAAAAAAGTGCACAAAATGGAATCGCTGGGGGCATTATTTTGTTAGATAGGAAACCCTATATGATATAGGGAATGGGAGAAATCCATGTTATGGTGTTTCGGGAGAGGAGGGGATGGGGATCACACACCCGGCTTACCTGATTTATAGGAGAGGTACTAAGGTCTGCGGGCACGTCGCTACAAGGTTTCAATAAGGTTGAATGAGAGGTTAAAAGGGGCGGATCGAAACAAAAACAAACAGGCACAAATAAGAAAGTAGACAATAAATCAGGTAATAGTTGAATTGGAGCAAAAGCCGCGTGGCATGTGCATTCTGTTGTCAAAAAGCAGCCTTGATAAAAAGTCATACAGTCGAATAAGTGAAGCACAGTTGAGAGCAAAATGGGTATCATAGAAGGTTCGGAAATTAAATCAAATATTTTCGGTGTACCTGAATAGAGTTTACAAGCACCGCCTCTCATACTCTGATTCGTCGATTATTGATCTTATTCGACTTTGTGCCTATAAATTGAATATCAAAACTGACATAATATTGGGACAACATGACACCCAAGCATTACCCCTTCAACTCGCCTAATAAGAGCGTACATATTTTCTTAGCAAATTGCTCTCTATAGGCTATAGGATTTGCGTATTCTTCCTACTTCATCTACCAGATCTGAATAAGAATGGTTATAGCATTATCCCCAACGAAGGGCAGTATCAATTAAATAGTGGCAAACTAACGCTACATTATTGGCGAAACTAAGATTGACGGGAATTTTTCGTCAAAACTAACAAATTGTTTCTTAATCCCATAGCCAAACTGGAGAGAACAGTTCAATCTTCAAAAATCTCAACATGCTAAAAGCCATTTCCCTAAATCCTGCGTGTGAAACTTACGAAAATCTGACAAAACCGATAAACACGCAAAATCAGAATGGGATATTTTTTGATTGGCAAGGACTCCAAAGAAGTTGAATTCAACCAGTGTTTACCTTCAAAAAGCGTTCTAGAAAAAATTAATTCAAACCTTTTTTTAAAATCCCACGAGAAGAACAGGCATTCACGACATGTCAAAAAAATCGTGAGAAGGAAAAGATTCTTCGGCTCTTAAGTTAGTCAAAGCTCTACTGGTATTTCATTGTAGTTGAACAAAACAAACACCCACAGAAATCACCTCTGTTGGCAGAAAGAATGAGTCATCACAACGGCCTTGACAAGAAAGCAACAACACGATCAGAACCCAAACACATTTCAGTGAAAAAAAGTGTAAAGAAGATGACGAACTAGCATAATCCAGAAAATAGTCTCATGTAAGCCTAACATCAACCCCCAACTGAAATATATTCGCCAACAAAAGCTATCAACTGGGTTGTGCAAAATTGTTGACAGCCGTGGCCTTAATGAACACGATTAAAATGAGCATGTTTATACAAGTGGTAGTTAAATGATCCTCCAGGGTTACTGAACTGAATTGCTTTCGTTCCGCCACGTAGTTCTGTGCCAGGTCTTATAGATCATATAGACGCGAATGTTTGCTTGAATTAGAAGATTACAAAAAATACAAATTTTAACCAAACCTAAGCTCGTGAAAATAGGAGCTGTTGGACAAAAGGAACAATTTTTAACTAAGGACAAATAAATTAGCAAGTTAGAATGTGCATATTTACTTGAATTTGCTAAACTTCAAGGTCATCACCACGAACAATTTCAGGATAAAGCCTACCTTTAAGACATCAAAGTGCGATCATTGAGTTCTGGAAATTTTGAATATAGTTGAGAAAAGTACGAAATGTAATTACCCACTATTCAGCCATCTAAATTAAAATCTGCCGGAAATTAATACCTTCAAATATATCGAGATTCAAAAGGGCTCCGAGAATAGAGAGAATTCAAAACTATAATAATCAAATTACAAGCGCTCCATACCTCTTCCCAGAAATTGATATAATAGAACTGTAAAAATCGATTCCTTCACATGATTTTTCGCTGACAATTGTTATTCAATTCATGACACCGCGTCTTCTCTAAATTTCTATTTGAAAACACAGCTTACCTATCCAATTGAAATATTCAATTCCCACTTCAATTAAGAAAATCCAATTTGCACCCCCAAGATAACGCTAACCTTAGCCCTCCACTTGAGTCTATTTTAAAGACTACTAGAGTCTATTTTCGTTGTTAATAAACGCAGTTAAAGGCCAATAGAAGCTTCCAATGACCTCTTCAATAAGTCGAAATATCATCCTCACTAAAGAGCTTCATTAATAATAACGCGCATCTTAAATGATAAATGTCTGTTGACCTCCATTAAGCTCGAATTTTAGCTACCCCACCCACACAATGTCAAGATTGACCTTGCAAAAACAATTGCTTTGAGTTGTCAAGGCCGATGAGACTAGCCAAACAGTGGATCAATAAAAACGATATATTGTAAAATAGAATGCACTCAGTAAATTAAGCAACGAATAGTGCATTTGGGAGCTTGAACAAACAAGTAAGTAGATTTCGTGGAAATTCAGATCCAAAAACGGATTCTACGATACCTTGACCTTAATTTCAAGACCTTTTCGAACCGTTTTTTCCCATCTGACTATTTACTAGACAGATTTTGATTGTAAATTTTTGGGATTACTCCATATCGTATGAACTTGTGTTAAGGAAAGTTTAAACAATTTGGTGGTTGGATAATTAGAGACAAAATCTACTCCAACCCTTTAAAAAGACAACTTTTATATGAGTTGAAGTGCAAGATTGACTAAATAAAAGAAAATATATTTTAAAAGAAAACTTTAAACTGACCTGATTTTGTGAAGATAAGGAAGGATTTAGAGGGATTCTACGCGGGGTTGGCTGAACTCGAGGTCGAACCATTCTGGTGTCTGCTGTCTTAGCAACAGATGACGGTCGAACACCGCCGTTGGTAGTGGAAGTTTTTGGAGGGTGCACTTTCACGGTTGAACCTGGTGTTGAACTAGCTCGTCCGAAAGTCTGGAAATTAGGATAAGAAGTCAAAAAATGAGAATATATAAAAAGTACAGCTCGACAAAGAGCTTAATATGAACAAATTTAACGACAATAAACCAATAATTAGATAGCTTTACCAAATATAGCCAATCCTACAGGGAATACAGAATTTAATTGCCATGGACTAGATCATTAGTATGTTTATAAACGCAGAATAACAATCACAAGCTCTGAAATTCTGACCCGAAGATTTTTCCAAGATATGCTGACTAAGACGCAGGCGGAAGCAAGTCTTATGACCATGAACTAGTAACTTAATTGGAGAGTGAGCCGTTTAAGAGGAAGGATCCTTGTTAAACAAAACAGCGTACCTGCTGCCAAGTCAGAGGAAACAGGCTTAATGTCCCCCCCCCCTCCTCAAATAATATGTAATTTTAACTATGTTTAATATTGTGGGGTGCGCGATAGACTTACCTCCTCGTGGTGCACTCTGGACAACGTATTTTCTTACGACAAAAAAGTCTATCACTCCGCATTCGGTTTTGACTTCGATTAATTATGATTAGCTTTAAAAAAGGCTATAAGAAAAATCGCCCTCGTCAGGACGAACCACTACGTCTTCAGATCCTCCAGTGGAATGCTGGAGGAATGTCTCCGGACAAAAAGATCCAAGTACAGAAAATCCTACAAACCTATGATGTAGACATTTTCACAATTATGGAAGCTAACATTTCGGATGACAAACTGAAGTATTACCAATTCCCAGGTTACACCCTGTACAATCTACCTAAATACCGGCAAGTTGCAAGTGGAATTCTAACTGGAGTAAAAGATGGCCTCACCTCACACTACGACCTAATCAAGAGTATGGGCTCGACACAAGACATATGTGAAATAATCAGATTAAATGTTTGGAAATGTCAAAACCAATTCAAGATATATGCAGTCTATAATCCACCCCAGAATTGGCCAAACTTTGACTTTCTGAACATCTCACACAAAACTATAGTATTAGGAGACTTCAACGCCCACTCCACCAGATGGGGCTACAAGGATACGAACATAGCTGGAAAGGAAATTGAAGACATGC